TTAGTACTGCTATTTTTGTCGAAGTTTCCTCACATGAGATTTATATAAATGTTCTAGAACAAAAAACACGGAAACAAAAATATTTGACTCGACCCTAGTTGTGGCCGTACTAAGAACGCAAGTCAGACTCGAAAGCGGAACTTTTAGTGTATATAAAGTCCTGCTTTGGAGCATTGTGTAATCTCTGTAAACAATTCGACTACATTGCTCTGCATGTCTTGATCAATTTCGTCCAAAATTCATAATCGAAGTAACAATTTGAATTATTTGAATAACCCTTTCAAATGAAGATTGTGAATATCGTTCTAACGGTCTCGCCAGCGCCCATTTGGTTATATTTATAAGTCCTGTTTAATCCTATTAGCATACTTGTTCGAAACCAGTACGCTATGTACATGTGCGGTACTTTGCATTAAGCCACATGTAATAATTTGGAATTATACAACTATCCACCCCCGCTAAACACCTCCCATCAGTCGAAAATGATGGTTCATATATAATTAACTGCACGCGATGGATAGATGTGGCCAGATTTTTTCGCTTAGTATATTTGATGGCTTAGGATTAGTTTGTACGTAGTAATCAAGTCATAGTTAGAACTGTAAAATAATAACAATGCATTTACGAACCTAAAATATGAAAATTGTCAGTAATGATTTTAATGTATATTAAATATATGATTAGCTTGATGCATATAATCATCCTTAAACAATCTTGTTTAAAACTAAGTAATAACGCTAATATGCACAGTGTGTCTACAATTTCGTTACATAGTATTTCTACTGGTGTGCACAATATGTTTTGCAATGCGTTTTACTGATATCTGTCTTGAACGTTGTGGCCATCATTCTTCTACAATTTTATCACTAAACAATGACAAATATATATTGAACACTATCCCTACTTTTGTTAATAAGATGTTGGATGAAGCCCAAATTGGTCTAGTATTGCATTCTCCGGAAACAGATCCAGGATATGCACGTGGTCGGTCGATGGTTAATCCCCCACTGAAGTACTATTGTGTTCATACGAGTACTGACATTTATTGAAACTCATCTTTCTCTTCTATTGGCTGTCACATATTCTGTACTTTCTGTTATCAACTAGTTGCCTAATGTACGTTTGGGAATTACGTGTTAACGAGACTCAGTTGAGCCTGTCAGTCAGTAATCGTAAATGCATTATGTAGGCTAGTTGAGATGTCAGCACTACTAAATGTCGGAAATGCCGGTCACACTTTTCAAACTGATGTATCTCTATTGTAAATGGAAGTAAAGTATTCACTTTTTGTGTCACTTCGACCCATTTGTGACCATGAGAATGTTTACTAAAAATAGATTATTATCATCGTAATGACAATTTGGCATTCTGTTATGCTCCACTGTCGACTTCGTATTATTGTTCCTCATCCCCTGTCGTCTGGCGTTCGCGATAATTTTTTACATTTTCGACATCTTCCTGAAAGCGCAAGTCTGGTTGGTTTGATACGGGTGGATCTCTCTCAGATTATTTATCTCAAACAAACATTTTCTTTCCTGGTTTCGGTGTTTGGTCGAGTGTGTTGTCCGGTTTCAATGTGTAGTCGCATAAAATACAGTTCACGATATGATATTATGCTTATTTACGCTTCAAATCAGAAAATACAGCAATTTGATGATAAAATACGAAGTGGAACTGAATATAACTATGGGTACAAAAAAACATTGTTAAACATTGCATTTATTGTTCAATTAAATTATTACCAGAAATGAAGCTTTCATATGGCACATTTCAATCCGTGTGTCTACGTATTCCCAGGTCTATGCATTGCGCCTACGTTATGCCCATGTTCATGCATTGCGCCTACGTATTCCCAGGTCTATGCATTGTGCCTACGTATTCCCAAGTCTATGCATTG